ATAGGGCGATGATTGTTTCACAATCCATAATGATTTTTATGTGACTGGATAGGGCTGCTGCTTTTCGGTAATCCACAAACCTGATTGATTTAGGATCTCAATCCTTTGATATTAATCTGATATCCCAGCATGTAGGTGCTCTGGGATAAACCAAGTGGAAAACCACAGATGTACAATCAAATTAATTCATTTTTGATTTCTTGTTAGTAAATTTAATACTGTAGGTCAGATTGGGGTTTAAATTTGAGCTTACTAATTATCTAATTTGCATAATAATTGTCCACCTATATCAAACACCAATTACTGCTTTCAATTAAGACTTGGTACATGCCTGCTAAAGACCCGATTTGTTTTATATTGAAATTCATGTGTACTAATTACCTTATTTGCATTATATGCATAATCATCACATTTCAATGAAATTAGGTACATACATGATCTGGGGTGGTCTGCAGATGTTTAGAAAACCATGCATATTGATTACCTAATTTATATTAGCAAAATTCTTAAAATTGAACTTAAAATCAGATGTACAATCAGATCAGATGTACAATCAAATTAGTATTATTATAAACTTCACTACTGTGGATCACATTGTTTTCACAATGTGCATTTCAAATAGCAAAGCTTCTTGTTTGAAAGAATGGTCTTAAATTTTGAATTCATTTTAAATGTGCCTCCAATACTCTCATCGCACATTTCTAAGCTTTCTTTGATCTTATTGAAATTCATGCCTCCATCACCCTAAGCACATGGAAGTTCTTTCTAAGATTTTTCTGATTTCAATATATTTTTACAATTGTCCTACATGAAATAGTGAAATCTTAATGACATTTGTCATTGTTTGTCTTCAGCTTATCAATCATGACGTGACGGGTGAAATGAGACTGCGATTTGAAGGCACAGTAGTAAGTATATTCTATTTTTTGGCATTGTCTATTAGAATGCCATATTTGTAAACATTTTGTATGAAACATGCTAGAACACCATCTATTGTTAGTTTATTGTTATTGTTTGTTTGTTAGCTCCGCTGTCGACTTTGTCGAGTGGAGCTTATCATATGAGTGATTGTCCGTCGTCGTCGTCCGTGTCAATGTTTTACTTTTTCGACTTCTTCTTGAAAACTACAAGCCTTAATGCTTTGATACTTGGTGTATATGTACCTTGGGTAGACCTCTCTTAGGTTTGTTCATTTCATGTTGATATCTTCAATTCTCTAATTTTGGTGAATATTTTTGTCCTTTTTGGTAAAAAGTGATATTTTCGACTTCTTTTTAAAAACTGTAAGTCCGATTGCTTTGATACTATACATATTGTTCATTTTCTAATGATGTCTTCAGTTCTTTAATTGAAATGTGCATTGCTAACAGCGGAGCTATCTCAGCCGATAGGCTGCTTGTTTGTCATTTGTTGTCTCTCAATGATGGCTACAATCTAAGTAAATAAAAGCTAATCGACAAGAGTGCTGTTTCATTAATACCATCAAAACATTACATATACATTTTTTGCAGTCATACTCAGTTACTTTGACTTTGATGTTCACATTATCATTTCAAGACATAAAGCTGAGATGCTGCATGTCAGTGACGCAAAAGAAATAGCTGATCATTATCGCTGCATTGCATGTGACATTGATAAAGAAAATAAGGTTTGCACATGAAATAACAGGCATCTGGCACAACATTAAATTACTAGTATGTCATACAAACATGCAGGAGACGCTGACATACATACCAATGTGACAGGAGATGCTGACATATATACCAATGTGACGGGAGATGCTGACATATATACCAATGTGACAGGAGATGCTGACATATATACCAATGTGACGGGAGATGCTGACATATATACCAATGTGACAGGAGATGCTGACATATATACCAATGTGACAGGAGATGCTGACATACATACCAATGCTGCAGGAGACGCTGACATATATACCAATGTGACAGGAGACGCTGACATACATACCAATGCGACAGGAGGCGCTGACTTACATACCAATGCGACAGGAGATGCTGGCATACATACCAATGTGACAGGAGACACTGACATACATACCAATGCGACAGGAGACAGACAGACAGACAGACATACATACCAATGTGACAGGAGATGCTGACATACATGCCAATGCTACAGGAGACGCTGACATACATACCAATGCTGCAGGAGACGCTGACATACATACCAATGCTACAGGAGACGCTGACATACATACCAATGCTACAGGAGACGCTGACATACATACCAATGCTACAGGAGACGCTGACATACATACCAATGCTACAGGAGACGCTGACATACATACCAATGTGACATGAGATGCTGACATGCATGCCAATGTACAGGAGACGCTGACATACATACCAATGTGACAGGAGACGCTGACATACATGCCAATGCTGCAGGAGACGCTGACATACATACCAATGCTGCAGGAGACGCTGACATACATACCAATGTGACAGAAGACACTGACATATATACCAATGTGACAGGAGACGCTGACATACATGCCAATATGACAGGAGATGCTGACATACATACCAATGTGACAGGAGATGCTGACATATATACCAATGTGACAGGAGATGCTGACATATATACCAATGTGATA